TTTTTTTTTTAAGATTTTATTTATTTATTTGGCAGAGAGAGATCACAAGTATACAGAGAAGCAGGCGGGGGCAGGGGGCAAGAAGGCGCCCTGCCGAGCAGAGAGCCCGATGCGGGGCTCCATCCCAGGACCCTGAGATCGTGACCTGAACTGGAGGCAGAGAGAGGCTTAACCCACTGAGCCACCCAGGTGCCCCCCCCCTTTTTTAAAGTAAGAAATACAGTGAAAGTTGAATTTACAAGGGTAACTTAATGGGTTGTATAGTCAGACCTTATTCTTACATTCCCATGAGAAAGAAAATGTCAGATCTTTCCTAAAAGGATGGAAATATTCTTAGCTAGTCTCTGTGTTAATAGTCTGTGATGTCATACAGACTAAAGGACGGATCTGGAAGTCTGCACGCCCTGGATGCTTGTGTCCACGATGTTGTTGACACGTGGCTTTTTATTATTTTCCCACCTTTAGTCAAATGTTGAAATGAGACTGTCAGTCATTGAAAAGTTTTGCTTTATCAAGCTATTTGGGACAGTGGTTAATGATGAATTACTAAAATCCAGTGTTTGGGGGAATGCAGATAAGCTGGCAACTGATTGAGGATCTCTTGGTTTAGGATTTGATTTATCATTCAGAGAGAATCTGGTGTGTAGTAAAACAGAAACAGCACTTGATTTGGGGACCGAGGCCTGTCATAGTTTGGCAGTGCTTCTAACTAGTCTAGGGATTTGAGGGGCTCCAGTATATGAGCTTTCTAGAATGTACTTTCCTTTTAAGCAAAATGAGAGTTTTAGGTGAATGGTCTCTTGCAGTTCTGGTATCGAATGCATTAAGTTAGTAGTACAGATTTAATGGTTTGTCTTGGAGAAGAATAGGGCCTGTTTAACCTGCTTTAGAGAACAGTGCTTTTTGTTTTGTTTTGTTTTGTTTTTAAGAATTGTAATAGCATCCGTTTTCATATGGATAAGGATATGCCAATTGCAAATCCTTCTGCATTCTTACCTGTTCATTAAAATAGGTCTCTAGTATGCCTCTGTGTGCTCATCGGTACAACCTCTGCACTTAGTGTAATGCCTGACACAGAGTAGACTCTTAATAATTGGAATAAATGAATATATGTGAACAATGAAGGTATAAATGATCTGCAGTGTAAGCCTGCCTTCTAGCTGCCTTCATTAGAAAAACGAGGTACTGCTAAATATTGGTTGGGAAAAGAAGAAGAATTTTGGAAACTTGGCTAGTGGAAGACATAGTGTATTGAAGAGTCACTTATGTTCTTTGTGCTATTTTTTGTTTGGAATGGAATGAGTCAATGAAGTTACTGTATTACAAGCAGTAAAAACATTTAAACTGGAGCCTGGTTGTTTTTATAGTCAAAGGGAATTCAGGGATGTTGAACCTGGAATTAACTCTTTTAGCACAAGCAGGGGGGAAGAAAAAGAGGATAAAGTTTTCTATAGTTAAGGGGAGGGGAAAAATAAAAATCAAGCACTCATATATTACTAATATAGTGTACATAATCTATAACTTCATGAAATTCATTTACTATAATTGTTCACTGAAAAATTCATTCTGTAAATATTTTTGTTTATAAGAGAAATCTTTAAGCTTAAAAATAGATATTAAAAGGGAAGATGAATTGAACATATATATATTCAGTAGGTATTTTATAATCTCTGGTGTCCATTTTTTTAGATCTGTCTCTCCTAGAATTCAGAATTGCACATGTAAAAAAATTTGAATAAAAAAAACTAACCAGACACTACAGCTTGCAACTGAACTAAATTTCTTCCTAAAAATACCTCACCTTCATTATTGATTTTTAAAAAAGTGGCAAGACAGCATCCTAAAATACATGAAGAAATCTAAATTACCAGTTTAATGTTAGATTTTTTTCCCCCCCAAAGTCTTGACTGCATCAAGCCCAGTTTCCAGTGAAATTTTACAGGGCCTTTAAACAGATTAAGTGTTCCCTAAAATGGTGCTGATGGTCAGAATTCCTGTGGAGCCGACTCCCAGTGGGTGTAGCTGTCTGCGGAAGAGAGGAGGGAGGAGCTGAGTCTTCTCGCATGTATTTTCCAATTTGAGGAGGAAATAGACACTGAGTATGTGTGTTTGGAATTTAAGTATATAAAATACACGTTTGTGTGGTTGAAAAAAAAAAAGGCTGTGTGTCATGAATGTCCGTTTTCAAAGCAGATAAACTTTGTAAGAGCGGTTGTGAGCAGAATTCCCAGTGTCTTACTGTTCTGTTGCTCAGTACCACCCTTACCAATATCTAGCCCATGGGAGGTTCTGGAAAATCGCAAGTGTGGAGTTGAAGTGAGTGATCTGCTTCCTGCCGTCTTTGTCCTTAAACTACTGTGGATGACCTGAGATGCCCGCTTTTCCCCGCTCTCTGGGTTCTCTGGTAGCATCGGGTGTTTCAGTGCATGGGAATTGCCAGGGACCTGGTAGGCATTTCTGTTTCAAGAAGGCTCTGTAGTTGAAATGTGGCTTCTGCAATGGCGGAAGTGAATTTTTAACTTCCTATAACACCGGTTCACTCAAATTCATATTCAGATAGCCAGCCACACTTCACAAAATGGCTACCATATTGGAAATTCAGATATGGAGTGTTTCCATCATTACAGAAAGTTCTTTTGGACAGTGCTGCTCCAGACTTCTCTAAGATGCCCATTGGCTTGGCACATGCCTCTGAGCAAGTAGACTGTTTCCCCAACATCCTAATTTACAAAATGGAGGTGGAGTGCGGATGCCCTTTGGTTGCTAAGAAAATTAATATGTGAACAAAAACACTGCAGAGCTTTGTTTCCTAAAGAAAAAACACATCTTAAAAATACCATAGAAAACAGATGATGGCATTTCTTAAAGTAATAACTATTAAAAGGTGTCAAAAAACAGCAGTGGTTTGTTGATTGAGAGAACTTACAAGGATCTATCATCCATTCTCACTTCTCCCCCTCAGGTACTTGAAGCTTTCACCAAAACACCCTGAATCAAATACTGCTGGAATGGACATCTTTGCCAAATTCTCCGCATATATCAAGAATTCAAGGCCAGAGGCTAATGAAGGTAAAACACACACACACACACAAAACCCCACAAATGATTGGATTACCACTGCAGATAAAACAAAAAAGCCCCAAATAAATCCAAAAATCCTGTTAGGACAGTGATTTTAAATTAATATTTTGGAGTCCAGACCTTTCCATTAAGTATTAAAAACTGGCTTTCAAAGTTGACTGGAGATTTGATGATAAACAGGGTAAGTCCTTAAATTGCTGTTTTCCTGTTTTTGGCTAGTGGGACAGTGCCTGGGATAGTAGATGTACGATACAGTGTTTATTGAATGAATTGTTTTCCTGAAGGGGGAACTATACAGAGAATTAACGGGGCATCAGAAACAATGAGTGGTGTGGGTGTGGTGCTTTGGAATGGATCGATACAACTTCCTTTAGATTATGACTAAATCTTTTGTTTCTTGTTGGGTTCTGGTCACTTGAAATCAGCCTGGGTGGGTTTTTGTGATAATTCACCTTCAAGAGCAATTTGGGAAGTTACTCTAAGAGAGCATGTCTCCTCCCCCGTCTTCCTAATTTCTCTGCATCCTAAAAAGGGATTTTAGTTTCAAGTCCTGTTTTCATGTGAGAATTGTTTAGGGTAGTACAGATACAAAGTCCTTCTTTTCTTTATTAAAGGACAACACTATCTTATTAGTTCGTTTACCAAACTTACGTGTGGTGAAGGGAAGCCTCTTTGAGAGAGGTCCATTTAATGAGCCTTGTCTTAACCACACCATTCAGTCGTTTTTCTTCTCTTTGAGATGTTGAGCATTGTTCTGAGTAAAACTCTCCAGAGAGAGCATTAGTGTTTAAAATTAATTACAGCAACAAAAACGCCAGCTCCTAAAGACACTTTAATCCGTCATGGTTTTGGACAGTTTGGTGGCTTGGGTGTGGTTCTTTTGGGTAGAAACTTACGGCTGCAAATGAACAATAAACCAAAGAGAAGAAATTATCAGTGCTGGTTAAGCAAGAATAAACATCTTATAAAAAATGGAAGCACTCGCTGATTTCCTTATGTGATTTCTGTGGGCAGAGATCCAAGCCATTCAGGCCAGTATTTTTTTATTATTAAATTTTAAAATTGCGGCATTTTATAATCTAGTATTGAATTTCAAGGGTTTCTGGGATGATACTCACTGCATGTGATGTTTTTCTGCAGCAAAGGGAAAGAGGGAAAGGCCGTAGAGTCCGGGCCTGGCTTACAGCTCTTCATTGTGTTCCAGTAGCTACCTTGGTTTGGGGACAACTTTCCTAAGTAACTGGCTCTTTTTTTGCCTGCTGTTTCAGTGTAAGCATTTTATACTCTAAACAGTTACGATGGAGCCCCTCCTGTCCACAGACAGTATCTTTTCTGTCATACCCTTCCTGCCTGCAGAGGATTTCTTTTCATGAAATCATCCCCCCCCACTTTTTTAAAGATTTTATTTATTTCACACACACACACACACACACACACACACACACACAGCACAAGCAGGCAGAGTGGCAGACAGAGGGAGAAAGAGAAGCAGGCTCCCCCGCTGGGCAAGGAGCCAGATGCTGGACTCGATCCCAGGACCCTGGGACCATAACCTGAGCCGAAGGCAGCTGCTTAACAAACTGAGCCATCCAGGCCTCCCCGAAATCATCCTTTTATATCCAAATGCTCTTGCCCATAGTTCCTGAACCATCTGAGTTCAATTCATAATGTTTTCATTTCTCTGTGTAGTTTTTGGAAGCTGGAGGGTGGCTGAATTTCTTTTGACACTTGGTGGAAAGGAGAGGGAAATAAAATATGTTTGCTTAAAAAACAAAACAAAACAAAACACAAAACCCACAAAGAGCAAAACCAAACAATTGCTTTGGGGATGGGATAGAGGGGAGAGAACATGGGAGAAAGTGACTCATTTAAGTATAACTTTGTATTCTATTTTTTTCCTATCAGTTTGTTGCTGTCTTTTTTTTTTTTTTAAACATATAATATATTTTTATCCCCAGGGGTACATGTCTGTGAATCGCCAGGTTTACACAGTTAGTTTGTTGCTGTCTTAAGTAGCCACCTACGCTTACTGTCTTTCGAATGTTGTAACCAATAAGAACAAACAACATAACGGATCACTGAAAGGCTTTATATTAAATTACTTCTTGGTAAATAAGAATTCCAGTTGCCAAGCAGCTTTCCCCATAGGACCTGTCACTGCCAGGAGACTTTAGAAAACAATATTCCAAATCACTTTGGAGCTTACTGAGTATATGTAGATCTGTTGAAGGTGTCTTGTCTGTTTAGTGCAATAAAATGCCTTAAATCAGCCTTGGAAATTAGTGTTCCAGCTCCTCTTTCTCCCAAACTATAAACCACTTACAAAGAGATGGAGTTGACATTTTACGTGGTAACTCAGAGTAGGCAAAGTTTTGATCAGTTTTACCAACCTACTAAATATTTTACAAAATTCAATATGTTTGGGCAATTTTAAGACCTTTTAAGATGTAATTCTAAGTAAGGGATTCGATGCCTAGATGCTGTGGTATTGGATCAGTGAAAGAGAAGTGTCAGTACTTAGATTGGGTACAAAATACACAAATAGGGCTTAAAGAATAAAACAAAGGGAAACACAGGAGAGAGAGAGAAAGGGAGGGAGAAAGAAAAAAAAGAATGAATGAATGAATTCTTTTGGTAACATGTCCAAGCTGATTGGAAGTAAGTTTGTGTAATCTTTTGAAGCATTAAAAGAAATTAATAGGTAATTCCTTTTATGAGAATGGGTTAGATATGACCTGTTCCAGATCTGGGTTTTTAAATTTTTTTTTTTTACTTCTTTGTTTTCATTAATTTATATAAATTACTAAACTCCCAAATATAACTAGTAGATAATTTATTAGTGTGTTGGTATTTATAATACTCTTAAGAGCCCAGTGAATTTAGTAGTGATGAAATCTGCCATTGTGTTCTACAGCATATTTCATAATGTCCAAATTCTCATTTTTAAGTGGAGGCAAGGAATCTATAGGTTCTAATTCATTCTTTTTTATTCAGAATTCCTCCCTGCCTGTCTCCCTTCCTCTTTTTCTCTCTGTGGAAGTGTTTGGAATCAGAGGATGGTTGTTCATCATTGTAGCTATGGAACCAAATTGTATTATTATTAATATTTAATCATCTTTATTTTTTTTAAAAAGATTTTATTTATTTGCGAGAAAAGGTGAGAGTGAGAGAGAGAGTGCACGAGCAGGGGGAGGGACAGAGGGAGAAGCAGTCTCCTCACTGAGCAAGGAGCCCGTTCCGGGACAAGTCCCAGGATTCTGGCATCATGAACTGAGCTGAGGGCAGAGGCTTAACCCACTGAGCCACCCAGGTGCCCCATCATTTTTAAATACTCCTGACCTCTCCCTATTTTCTAATGGCCTTTACAAATTGTTTGCATAAGACTGCCCTTTACTGAAATTAGCAGTAGCTTTAAAATACAGTTTTATCCTTGTAAGGGCTCATAATTTTGGTATTCTTCATTATGAATTGTAGTCTTTTCCTACAGCAAATATGGTCATGTTAAATCTAATGCCTTCTGTTTTGCATTTATTCAAATTGTATACATAATTGACTAATGTATGCTTGTTGAAAAAGTTAAAAGCGTTTAGAAATAAATTCAATAAAACTTCAGTGCCCCTTCTTAACCTCATTTGAGCTCTTCCCCAACAGTTAATATTCATCCTTTTTTTCTATGTAATTTTGCAAACATTGTGTATGAGTGTGTATTTATGTGTATATTTACATTCTGCAATTGTTTTCACATATTATGTGGTAAAAGCCCTTCCATATCAACCAACTGAGCCACCCAGGCGTCCCAAAGCCCTTCCATATCAAAATGTAGATCTACCTCACTTTTTATAAATACTGCTTAATATTCCATAATACGGATTTTTATTTAACTGTTTCCTTGTTGATAGTTATCTAGATTGTCTCAAGTTTTTTTATTGTGACAAACAATGCGAGTGAATGTCCTTTGCTAGATTCCAAATAGGTCAGAAGATTTTGTTCCTCAAAAGTCTACATCAGTTTATATTCCCACTAACGTGAAAGTATTCATTTCCCCTCACTTCTGACCCTGGCATGGGTGTGCGTGTGCGTGTGTTATGTGTGTTTTAAAATTTTGCTATAGTCTCATAGGCAAAAAAGGGTGTTTTGATTTTCAGAATTAATCTAAAACTAATCGGATAGCCTCTATCACAGTTAAGTACTAATTTTTTTGGAGAGCTTTTCAAATACCTTCCTTAGAGATAACAAGTATTACCACAGCAAGGGTATTAGAGAATGGTTGCGCTAAGACAAGGAGCTCCTTTTTCATAGCTTGCTACTGCCTCCTAGTGGTCAGTCTTGACATTTTCTTTATCTTAACAATTCCTTTGTAGTTTGTCTTCAAAACTTCATATTGAATGATGCTTGATGCTCTTTAGTACCTCTTGGCCCCTCTGTTTTTCTTAGTTTTGTTGGCCTTCCTCAGGTTGTTACATAAAAATCGAATCAAACTAATTCACCATTCTTTGTTTGCATTAATATACCCTTTATTCTGAGGTTCTTATTGAAAAATTAATATTTCTAGGAGGTACAGCAGTTCAGCTCCATTGCAGGTGCTTACCTAGGTCCAAAATTGTAGAAAGAATAGTAATTTTAATGTTTACCAGTGTCTTAGTTTTAGTCTATGCATTGCATCTAGGATTATAAGCATCATATGTTTCAAACCTTATAAATTCAGAGTATTTTAGTTTTTCTGTTGAATATATTTGAAAACTAATCCAGGAGAAGGATGAATTTAGAGCAGGTTGAAGGTCACAAACTTGCCCAGACTTTGTTTCAGTGTTTGAATTCAGACAGTATTATCTTCCATAGAAGCCACGACTCCTTTCGTTATAATCTGGTCGAAGAATAAATCCTTATATCTAATGTGCATTTATTCTGTACTCACTGATTTTGATAGGAAGCATATTGAGTCTTTAAGTTGGTTCTTTTACAGTCCCGAGATTCTGCTCTCCCTTCCT